GGTTCCTTTGTAAGTGCGCATGCGCCATTAGCGTGCTGCCTGCTGTAACCCTAATTTCCCTCGGGATGAATAAAGTATTCTGATTCTGATTATTAAAAAGAGTATGCAAAAAAAGGCAACTACCATTCTGATATTGCTTTACCATTTTTTTGTTGTTTTCATTCATCCAGAAATCTCTCTGTAACTGCAGTCTTCAAGTAATTTTTTCACCATCATAATTTTCATCATCTATTCGTGTTCACAGTCTGGTCTGAGAAACTTCTAAATTTGTTTGTAGAGCACGAACAAATTCACAAAAATAATGCTGAATTAAATATGTGAGTGAAATGTTTGTCGACGATTTACGAGACATTTGTGTGTACACACCGAATGAGGTCTTTTCTCTTGACATAATACGAAGTTTTGTTCACAATGGTGATAATGGAAACCATTGTTCTCTTCTGGCTGACTGGTTACTACGACAGGTACTCGACCTCCTCTGATCAAAGACCTTCCAGAACCCATAGAGACTCTGATGACACGCTGCTGGGACAAAGAACCCAGCCAGAGGCCATCAATGAATGAGGTCAAAAACACTATGAATCATCTAATGAAGGTATAGTGCCACTACATGGAACCACGAATTATCATTTTATTTCAGTTTGTGTGTACAGTAAAGAAATGAATTATAGCATTTGTTTTCTCAGAAATTCAGTCAAATTTAGGGTTTTTTATGATGTGGTTCACTCCATCTCAAATCACCATGAGTCTCCTGCTCAGCCCTCATTGTTTTGAATTTTTTCTGCACACTGAAATCTGAGGCGTGTGCTTTAAACAGAGTGATCTAAAAAGATTAAAGGCTGAAATTTTCACTTTTTTCTGTTTTGTTTTGTACCATCAAAATGAATCTGACATTTGGGACCGACTTCCCTGGAGGAGTCTGATAATAAACTGTCAAAGATACTTAGCCACATTAAAAACTCAAGTGCCAATGTAACTGTTTTTGTGCGTAAAAAGAAATATAGTAAAACAATTAAAAGTAATGACATGACAAATTGGAACTATATCTAGAAACAATTAAACAAATGATCTTTTGAGAAGGTTTTATAAATCAGATGAACCTAGAGCAGTGTTTCCCAACCACTGTGCCACAGCATATAGTTGTGCCGTGGAAGATTATCTGGTTCCACCTGATTACTACTCTAAGCCAGCAGCATGAGTAACGGGCAGAACAATTGCATTCTCTTCCACTAGAGGGCAGTACAACTACCTGCTCAAATTACATCGGTTGCCAACTGCCAGTAAAACAGAAGACGAAGAAGAAATTACATAATAGTCATGCTGTGAGACAATCAGCGCCTAATAACAATAGATAAATATTTGAAAGAAAAAGTAGTCAGTCCGGTTCTGATAAATATTTATGCCCCGAACTGGGATGATTATAAGTTTATTGGCAAAGTAATATCATTAATTCCAGATATGAACTCAAAACAGCTGATTTTTGGTGGAGACTTGAACTGTGTGATGAATGTAACACTTGACCGTTCCAGCTCTAAACCTACAAATCTCTCCAAAAAAGCCAAGATATTATCTGTTTTTATGGCCCAAATAGGTTTTGTTGACCCCTGGCGGTTTTTATTTCCACAAAGTCATTTTCTTTTTTTTTCTAATGTACATCATTCATATAGTAGAATAGACTATATGAGTACTGAATATTTATCCATTGTAGAGTCAGATCATGCCCCTGTACTTTTCTCTCTACCAATCAGAACGCCCGCCCTGGAAGTTAGACAAGACTCTCCTGGCAGAGGAGGGTTTCTGTGAAATGATATTAAAAAAAAAATAGATGACTTTCTAATTTTTAACCAAAAAGATAATGTTTCACCTTCTCTCTTGTGGGAGACACTAAAGGCTGTAATCAGGGGAGAAATCATCTCATATTCGTTTAGAAAACACAAAATGAATTGAAATAGGCAAGAACCATTTCTATGGTAGGTGCTCAGTACTCTGTCTCTCCCTCTCCTGAGCTTTACAAAAGGAAGCTAGACCTCCAAATACAGTATAATTTGCTATCAACTGAAAAAACCGAACGTCTTCTGTTAAAGTCATGAGGTTATGTATATGAGCATGGCGATAAAGCCGGACGTTTATTAGCACATCAACTTAAATGCCACTCAGCCGCACAACAAATCCCACAAATACGAAAAGATGATGGTGAGTTAACAATTGACCCAATTGATAAAGCTCATTTATATGGGATGGGAAAAAAACTAGAATACGCCTGGATCAGTTACAGAGGCCTAAAGACCTAGGTGGTTTAGCCTTTCCAAATTTCGGCCATTAATACTGGGCCTCAAATGTTCAAAAAATAATTTATTGGCTCCACACCCCAGATGAAGATTGGTGCCAAATTGAAGCGGCGTCTTACATTTCCACCTCCCTTAGAGCCTTGGTCACCTGCAGCCTTCCAGTTTCCTCACGGCTGTACACCGACAGTCTTATAGTTCTTAACACCCTCAAAATATGGGCTCAATTTTAAAAGAACTTTGGGTTTAAAAATCTTCTCCATTTGAGCCCTATTCATAATAATCATCTTTTCCCTCCTGCCAGATTAGACTCTGAATTTGCTCTTTTGCAGAGACAAGGCATCCACAATTTTTCTGACATGTACATAGACGGTGTATTGGCAAGTTTTCAGGATTTGTCACAAAAATTTGACCTCCCTCAGCAGTATAACCCCAACTTTCCAAATATAACACCATTTACTGGTGTTGATGATCTGTTGAAACTCACATTTAAGCCTAAAGGTCTTATCTCTAGGATCGGTAATTGTATAGCCTCCTTTAAGAATATAACAATGGCAAAGATCAGAGCGGACTGGGAGGATGAGCTGGGGGTGGACTTGGAGCAGGAGACCTGGGAGAGCGCTCTTTTAAGAGTAAACAACAGCACTTCTTGTGCCAAATTAAACATCATACAGTTCAAGATTCTTCACCACATTCATTACTCTAAGGCAAGACTGGCCAAAATATTTCCAAACATAGATGCAAGCTGTGAGAGATGTAGAAATCCTTCTGCAGATTTAACACATATGTTTTGGTCATGTCCAACTTTAAAAGCCTACTGCTCAACAATTTTCAAAACACTGTCTGAAGCATTGAATGCTGAGCGTCAACCCAATGTAGTCATGGGTATATCTGGTGCTACAGATAGAGGACATAGAACATTAAGGAAAAGATACAAAAACATAATCGCTTTCACTACACTGCTTGCGCGCAGAAAGATATTATTGCATTGGAAGTCACAAATGCCACCCAAAGTGGCTCTGTGGTTCAGTGACCTGTCACAATATATAAAGCTGTACTCTCAAGGGGTCGAAGGAGAGATTCTTTGCCGTTTGGGATACATTGCTAAAACATTTAGAGAAAATTAAAACCGTACCCATCTGATACTCGCTTGGCAGCTACCGTATACCCTCATTGTTGTAATGGCGATTAGTTTTGTGCAAACTATTGCCTTTTAAGTGCACATCTTTAAATATAGTGAATTTTGATGTACCTCATTTAAATTTATTTTTTAATTTTTTCCTCTGGATTGGTGTCCAAGATGTTCTTGGGGTGGGGTATGCATATAAAAGAAGCATTGTGACTTTGTTACATGTATATCTTTGTATTACATTCTTGACGCACAATAAAAAAAATATTTTAAAAAAGAAATTTTTAAATTTAAGAATTTTTAAAAAAGAAAGGAAAAAGTAGTCAGTCTGACCTGGTCCTGGAGAAAACTCCTACCCAGATGAAGGCTCTAGCATGAGTAGTGGTCAGAAGAAAGCAAAAAGGGTATACTGGGGGCAAACCGAGCCAATTCTGCTTATACCTGGTGCGCAGGGAAAAATTATCGGAATGCTTTTTGTGACATTTTTGTTTGGTGGTGTGGCGTGTGATTTTTCTAATGTGAAGTATGTGCCGTGACTCCAAAAGGCTGAGAAACACTGGCCTAGAAAGAGTTCTTTAAAAATGCAGGGTGCTATGTGTGCATCTTCCAGTACTTTCCAGGTTCCGATGAACCACTGGATCTTCCTCATCAGTCGTCAGCCAGCAGAAGTGGCTCTTCGTCAGCCACAAGCACGGGTAACCATGCTACAGCTTCTACTAATGCATGATCACTTCAACAGCTATTTCAGTCTCTGCTAACTTTTTTTATAATAGATGGAATTGAAATCATTCCATGTTAAATCATTAATATTATCACAAATGATTTCTTTATTTCTGCTCAGACTCGTATGCTGACTGCACTATCAACTGTAGCCGGAGTGATGACGATATAGAACACACAAACTCAGTTGGTAGAGAGGAAACCCTGAAAAGTCCCGAGTCCAAATTTCCACTTCAGTTCAAGCCCTCAAAGGTAATAGAACATAATCACACAGTGATCACACTTCTTCACAGTGTTTTGCTTTTAACCTGTTTTATGATTTTTTTTTATTATTTTATGATTTTCAAATCCCAGAGTCCTGCATCGCGTACTGGTCTGCCCAGGACCTCAGGTGTGGACACTCAACCAGGGCCTTCCCAAAACTCAACCCACTCGAGCAGTTCTCCAATCAACTCTAGCCAGTCAGAACTGAAGATGACATTCAGCTCCACAGGTAGATTCACACAATATTATTTTCCTGCAAAATAATCATCAATTCAACCTTTAAAATATATGTGTCTGAGTAAATACTGTACCCGCCCCGCCGTGGACACATTGCAGTCATATTAGAAGATAGTAACTTCTGTTGACCTGAAGCAAGGTTTACAAGACGTCTGCCAAATTTAAAGACTGTGGTAAACTAATTTGTTTCTCTGTATACAGACAGTTTTTAGATTGTTTTCTATTTCCGTTTTGCCATCAATGTTCTATAACTCATTGGTTTTTAACTCTACATTTTAAAACATCAAAATAGCTCATGCTGTGTTAGACTTTTAAAAGCTCAAATTACTATATTTGGATGAGAGGGTGAAGTTACTGTCTAACACTAGCTGTTTGGTTAGCAACCTGCGTTTATAAATTGTATGAGACATGATTAATGCATAGCATTCTGACCACCAACAGGTGAAGTGAAAAACAATGATTTTCTCTTCATTATAGCACCTGTTGGAGGGTGGGATATTTTAGGGAGCAAGTGAACATTTTATCCTAAAAAGGTGATGTGTTAGAAGCAGGATAACTGGAGCAAGCGTATGGATTTAAGTGAGTTTGGAGGTCTCACTTTGCTGCTTACAGTGCTTAAATGTTGCTAACATTTTGATGCCTGATACAACAGCATACTTTCAGAATTGAATGGCTTGATGGAGTGCATGCCTCGATGGGTCAGGGCTGTTTTGGCAGCAAAAGCGAAACCAACACAATGTCTAAGGAGCTTGGAAAGAAAGCAACTGGACTTGTTAAAGTTTCGTGAAGATGTTTCATCTCTCCAACAGGCTTCTTCAGTTCTAAAACCAAATGGTGCAGCCACCTCTTGGTTGCACCTATAAATTGTTTCCATAAAGATTATGAATGGAAATGGAGAAAGCCAACATCCACTGGAAATGAGTCTGACTTGCTGCTGGCGATATGAATCAAGCTGTCACTACAGCTCTACAGAGGCTGAATGACCTGCATCAATAGGCATGATACCCCATGCTCCCAAAGTAACCCTTGGAGATGGGGTCGAATGCCTTCACCAAATACTCAGAAAAACCTACCAGGAAGAACCCAGGGACCTACTGGGTCTGATAATGGGTCCAGTGATTTCATCCAAATGGTGCAGAGTGCAGGGTATTTAAACCTATTGGGGGCTGTCCCTTAGGGTTCGTGATCCACTCGTGTGCTTCATCACGTGAGCCGAGGTGTGAAAAATGTTGGATCTCCAGTGTCACCTGTTGTAGCCAACCTTTACATAGAGGAAGTGGAAATTAAAGCTCTTGGCTCTTTCAAATGGACAGTACCTAGCCGCTGTCAAAGATATGCAGATACCTGCTGTTGCTCAGATACCCAGGGGACTGCTCAACTCCACTGCTGCTTGGGTCCAGTGAGAGTCATCTAATACCCTGGGTCGCCTACATGTTGGGTTGTGGCTACAGCTCCCAGTGTATCCGCACTTGCTGCTTCATCATGTACCCATCTCCACAGGACTTTACTGTATGTGTGAGTGTGGGTGGTTCACTAAGGGTTTCAGACCCAGCAGTGGTTTCCGACTCATTGGCTACCCTTACCTGGTTTGACCAGACATTTGAAGCTTTTGCCAGGGTGTGGCCACTGTTGCATGCTATTGAATTCAAATAGCTGCGAGGAGCCACAGGTGAGAGTACCAACAAGGAAGTAACTACTCAAAGGACAAACTGCTCCAAGGAGCATGACATGTCCCCTTATCAGAGGTACTACCTCTCCCTGCCACTCCATACAGCCCAACTTCCTTTGACTACCATGACCTGGATGACAGAGAACCTACACAGACAAACCAACACAATAATAGGCAGGTGGTCATAATGTTATGCCTAATCTGTGTAATACCTGATCAGTGCCTAGTGATATACTCCTTGTTTGTCTTCTTTGGTAAAACCTAGCACCTCATAACACTTATTTTCTAGTTCAGTCACAGATGTGGCTCAGTGCATGCATTAGTCTGACCACAGTAGCATTAGATGGTTCACTGCCAGTGTTTGGATTTGTGTTTGAAAAGTAAAAGTGTGTGTGTGTGTGTGTGTGTGTGTGTGTGTGTGTGTGTGTGTGTGTGTGTGTGTGTGTGTGTGTGTGTGTGTCTTTAGCTACCAATGGAGTAGATGGCTATCTGAAACTGGATTATCAGTTGCAGGTAAGATGATATTTTTATTGTGCTTAAAAACACAAAAACATAGCTGTAGTTCACCATGGTATTGGATTACAGTTTTCTCTGACTTTTCTAGGTGAGGACATATACCCACACACTTACATTTAGTGTTTATGCATGTATTAGTTATTGTTTTGTAAGTATGAGAACTCTAAATTATAAGTAATGTAGAAGATCTGCTAAATTCAGCAAAATATATATTTTGAAATTTAAAATGTATGCAATACTAAAATGTGATGTTTCTATTTCTTATGTTTGCCTAAATAAGTAAAATGTGAATATGTTTGAAATTCTGGACATGCAGCCATTTTTGGCCACTACTCCGACTTACTATGGAGGCATCCTCGTCAAAGACCTGAACCACCTGAACACCATTTATTTCTGCCATTTGTATCTGTAGTCTCATTCTTTTAGTCACTACCTGTGCTTATGACCACAGGTGAGGATGGGGTCATAGATCAACCACTAAAACTTCACTTTCGCACTCAGCTGCTTCTTAACCATGAGCCCCTGAAATGAGACCCAGGAAGAGGGTGGTAGATTGCCTGAAGCAGTTAGGACAGGACAGTGCCACTGACCAGACTGGCTGTATCCAGGGGAATCTACACCAAGTCTGTATGGTTTACTGAAGATACATAAACAGGGTGCACCTTTAAGACCGATTGTCTGCATGATCAACTCAGTCACCTATAACATCTCAAAGTTTCTGGCTTCGATTCTCAATCTGTTGGTATCTGAACACCACATCCAGAACACCTTGGAGTTTGTTGAGAAGGTGAGAGATGTCATTATGGAGGCAGATGAAACAATGGTCTCGTACGACGTTACATCTCTCTTCACTTGCATCCCAGTCATGGAAGCGTTGGAGGTAGTCCGTAAGAGATTACAGGATAACCCCAACCTCAGCAACAGGACCGCTCTCAGCATCCACCAAGTGTGTTTGAACTGTGTCTTCATTCTACCCTGGAACACCAAGTCATTGGTTCAGGTATGTGGATGATACCTGGGTGAAAATCAAATCTCAGGACGTTCCACAATTCACTGATCACATTAACTTGGTGGACCAAGACATCAAAGGGAGGATATGAAAAGTGGCAGGTTAGCCTTCTTAGACTGTGAGATTTCCATCAGTAATGGGCGACATCTAAAACTGATGTGTACAGTAAACCTACACATACGGATCAGTATTTAAGGTTTGACTCTCATCATCCACTGGAGCACAAAGTGGGCGTCATCAGGACGCTACAACACAGAGTGAACACCATCCCCACTGACACAGCGGCCAGAGAAGCAGAAGAACATCAAGAAGGTCCTGAGTAAATGTGGTTATCCCAGCTGGACTTTTGTCAAAGCTGGGAAGGCTCCCAAAGAAAGCTGCAGATGATCCAGGAGAAAAATACAACCTCTGACTAAGAGAAAACCTGTAGTGATCCCGTACGTGTCAGGAGTATCGGAGCAGTTGAGATGCATTTTTTCTAAACACCGGGTCTCTGTGGCTTTTAAACCCCAAAACACACTGCGCCAAACACTGGTCCACACCAAGGATCGGGTCCCCCGACACAAACAGAGTAACATAGTGTACGCTGTTAAGAGCAGGAGGATTGCCAGGATTTATACATCGGGGAAACCAAACAACCTCTGGCTAAGAGGATGGCACAACACAGAAGAGCCACCTCGTCAGGCCAGGACTCTGCAGTCTATTCACACCTACAGGCCAGTGGACATTCTTTCAATGATGAGGATGTAACATCCTGGACAGGGAGGAACGCTGGTTTGAGGGCAGAGTCAAGGAGGCCATTTACATGAAAAGGGAAAGACCATCTCTGAATCGAGGAGGGGGCCTAAGGGTACATCTGTCACCAACTTACAATGCTGTGATTGCAGCTATTTCCCAACTCTTTGTGATGGGACTCATGCTTATTGATTGGTGGTCATGACAATTTCCAAATTAATGATCAAGGAGCTGACGTAACAGCCCATTGTTCCTTCAGTGGGCTGGTTTCAGTCATTATGCAAATGTACTGTTTATAAGGTTGTGGAAACCTGCAGTCAGCTGAGACTGAAGAAGTCACCTGGATAAGTGATGAATCGTTTCTCCCACTGAAAACGCTACGTGGATGATTGAGCATGCATCCATACGTTACTTCAGATGCTGCACCAATCCATCTAGCTGTAAAAAAGAAAAAAAAAGATTATGGTAATTACCATGTGCCAGAATGAGGACCCACACCCATGATCTGCACGTTCTGGTATCTTTTATTTGTAAGGTTTCATTTCCCACTTTGTCATAGCACAAGCAGCATTTCAGCTGCTCTTCACACACTCACACACACCCACCCCTCTGGTCCCAGCACCATCCTTAAAGGGGAGGTGTGTTTTGCTGATGGAGATCAGGTGTGTGTCAGCCTCCCCTGACACCACATCCTGAATCCACTGCTCCAGCCCTCCCCTGCAGCTGAGCCACAGGCCGCACCCCACCACAACCAATATTGTTAATTAAGGGCAGCCGTGGTATAAATCACACTGTATCTCAAACACCTTGAGGTGACTGTGAATTATCTCTTTATAAATAAGATTTAATTGAATGAACTTCACTTGGTGATGGTCTGATAAATTTGCTTAACAAACTCTACTCCACAGCAATTGATTGTCAGTCTGAATTGGCCACACTGCTCTTTCTACCGGAAAATCACGGTATTGGACTTAGAGGTGCTAATTTTTATCCACACTGATTCACAGTCAGCTGTAAACCACCCCGGTGCAAGCTGCAGGCCACCACTCAGTAAAGCCAACAGAACCACTTACCTGGAAAAATATATAAAGATTATGAATGGAAATGAGAGAAAGCCAACATCCACTGGAAATGAGTCTGAGTTACTGCTGGCGATATGAAATCTAGCTCTCACTACAGCTCTACAGAGACTGAATGACCTGCATCAATAGGCACAGGGTTTGATAATAAGTCTGCGCCTGCCTGATGTGGTCAGGCTGAACCTGCTTCTATCTGTGAAATGCACAGGATGCTAGTGGAGGACCTACCATTTCTGTTATTGTGTGGCAAATGCTTATTACGCTCCGCAGTGCTGGGCAGTGAGCGTAGAGCCCACTAGAGGACGTCAGACCACCCTCATGAAGTCTGTGATTGTTTGGTCATAGAAATTTGCACCAGTGGCTTGCTAAAGGTCATTTTGTAAGACTGGCAGTGCTCATCCTGTTCCTCCTTGGACAAAGGAGCAGACACCAGTCCTGCTGATGGGTTATGGACCTTCTATGGCCCTATTTAACTCTCCTAGAGTAACTGCCTGTCTCCTGGAATCTTCTCCATGCTCTTGAGACTGCTGGGAGACCCAGCAAACCTTCTGCAAATTGCATGTATTGCTAGACATACTTTGGGAGTTGTACTACCTGTGCAACTTAGTAGGGTCCAGGTATTGCCTCATGCAATTAGTAGTGACACTGAACTCAGCCAAATGTAAAACTAGTGAAAAAAAGAGATAATATGAGGAGGGAAACCTGTAAAACCATTCATTCAAACCATTTGAGGGTTGTCTCATTGTTGCCCCTTTACTGCACCTATTATTAACTCCATAAACACCAAAACAGCTGATACTGAGTAACAACCCCCTCTGCTACTAAACTGACAAGTTCAATATTCTAGAAGTTTAACTGACTTGATGTTGTATTCTGATTAAAAACTGTTTCTTTCTTTCAATTTAATTTAATTTAATTTAATTTTTTTGAGCATTATAGTAGTATTCTCATCCAGCTGTTATGCTGAAGTCTGCATATGTAGAGTGTTGCATTAACCACAGCGTGTCCCTGTGTTTTCAGCCTCTGGCTCCTTGTCCAAACTCCAAAGAGTCCATGGCTGTGTTTGAGCAGCATATCAGGATGGCTCAGGAGTACCTCAAAGTCCAGTCAGAGATTGCTCTCCTTGTTCAGAAAAAGTAAGTCACATGCACAATATTAACTTAAGCAGAACTGTGAACATCTTAAGATGTGTGATAAGAGTGCATGATTTAATCAGGCACCTGGAAATGGAAAAATCAATGCCAACATTTAATCTTCAGTTAAAAATGGTGGACTTCCTATTGGGTTTAGGTCTTCAGGCCAATGGACAAAAATCTTAAAATGATTTATGTGAATCCTAGCATGTGGGCTCAACCAATAAAATACGTAGTATGTTAATATGAGCCCATGCTGCTTGAATAATGTTGCGGTCTGGTCTCTGGGGAGGCCAATCCATGGTTGACAGTGTTAGATTGTGTGTTGTTCTATCCATGTATGCTTTTACTGCACTGGCAGTGTGTTTGGGGTCATTGTCATGTTGAAAATTGAAACTGCTGCCAGTCAGTTAGTTTCCAGAATGATTGCATGGTGGATTAAAATCTGTCTGTTCATCATTCTCTGACATGATCTTAAAACACCAGCTGAAAAGCCGTGACAACCTTCGTGTTTTACAGTTGGCTACAGACACGCCCTGTTGTAACTCTCTCTTAAATTCCACTGTATTCACAGTGATTTGAACAAAAAAAAATCTAATTTGGATTCATCTCTCCTGTTGCCACTAATTTTCAGTCCAGTTGTCCACAAGACAAGCAAGAAAGTGAGATTCTGAGTTCATTTGTTTCTCACCAGCAGGCAGCAGCAGAGAGAATGTCCACTGTGGTGCACTGAAGCAAAATTACAAAAACTGCATTGTCTAAATACTTTTTGGATCTTACTTTATGCATGTCATTGCACCCTCTATGTAGGAAGGAGCTAATGACTGAACTGGAGCAGGATGAAATAGAACAGCAGGCCTCGTTTCGACTCATCCAAGAGCGCAGCAATCTGCTGGAGGACAACAGCAGCCTATCAGCCTACTGCCAGGGCCTGAGGAGTAAACTGAGCCTGATGAAGAGCCAGAACTAATAGCACAGCTGGAACAAAATGATGGGTTGCAGCAAGCAGTCCACACCACTGTTGTTTTTACTGTGATCGCTCCCCTTTTGAAAGAAGAGAACAATCACTGGCAGAAAAGCCCGTTATCTTAGAAAATGAGACTCTGCTAACTACATAAGGTACATCAAGATAATATTAAAGGGAAAGTTGCTAATTTGGAATTAAAGCCTTTAAAGTAAAGCTGAATTATAAGTTGATGTTCTTTGTTAATGAACCACACTGTGTGTACAATTATTAGGCAAGGTGTATTTCTGAGGATTAATTTTATTATTGAACAGCTACAGTGCTCTAAATCTGAATGTTTAAGACAGTAAAAGTGAGGTTTTGTCTTTCATCAGAGAATATATATATGAGCACAATTATTAGGCAACTATTATTGTGCAGAATTATTATGCAACTAAATGAACAAAACAAACATTTTTCCATCTCACCTGTTTATTTCCATCTGTTAAAGTGAGAATAATAAAACGACTCAAAATTTACATATAAACATTTCTGACATGTCCAAAATAATAATAATGATAATCAGGGACTAATATAGCCACCCTTCTTTTCAATAACTCACAAGCCTTCCATTCATGGAGTCTGTCAGTGTCTTGATCTGTTGATGATTAATGTTTTGTGCAGCAGCAGCCACAGCCTCCAAGACACTGTTCAGCGAGGTGTACAGGGCCCACAGGTTCTCAATGGGGCTTTTCAGAGTCCTTTAGATCTCTTTTTTTGGCCCATTTTGCCTGAGGAAGAGAAGCTGCCTGAAAATTATGCACACCTTTATATAGTGTCGGTCTCCTTAGGCCACACCCTCACTCATCACGCAAATACACATCACCTGATATGCAACATTAAGTTTATACAGCTTGAAGTTGGAAAATATGCATAAAATTATGATATGGCCAAAATACCCACTTGCCTAGTAATTGTGCATGCAGTGTATGGATTTATGATGTGATGTGTAACATTCTTTGAGGCAAGCTGCTTTGAAGGATCCCGGTATTCCCGTGTCTTATAAGATACTTTCGGACAACAGGAACTTTGTCATAGTTGCAGTAACTGTTGACGGTCCAATTTTATTTGATTTTATCATTTGCATGATAATGGTCATGAGAATTCTCATTGATCAAGGCCCACTGATCAAAGACCACTGATGAATTATTTGCATAATTATGATGAAAGAACTGACCTCCCATTGTTCCTTCAGTGGGCTGGTTTCAGTCATTATGCAAATGTACTGTTTATAAGATTGGAAACCTGCAGTCAGCTGAGACTGAAGAAGTCACTTGGATGAGTGACGAAACGTTTCTCCCACTGAAAACGTCCAGATGAACAGAATCAACTTTTGGACATTTACTTACCTGGATGATTGAGCATGCATCAAGACATTATTGATTGTGGTTACTCAGCTTATGGTTCAGCAGCAAACTCTTCCATCAGCTGGCAGAGAGGAATGTAAAATTCTTAATAATACAATAAGATAATACTCCATTACAAATAAGGCAGTGTAGTCAGACATAAAAATAAAAGTGTACAGTTGGATTGGAGCAGTCTTTTAGAGTTGCAACAATGAGTAAAACTTAGTTCCTCCTGTAAGATTATTTCTGTTCTCTTTTGTACTAATGTTTGTCAACATGATGCTTTCATCTGATCTTGTAGCAGACCTCTAAGTCTGCAATAAATGAGTAAACAGCCAGCAAGTGTTGTGACTTAATACCATTTTAGCTTTTCAGCCGATATCCGTCCACCTATGTTAATTTGCAGTCAGTTAAATCTGGCAACATTTTACGACAAAATGTAAACATTCCTCTTGCTGGAAGTGAGAAAGAAGGGAAACAGATTTATATTTACATATTTTTGGCCATTGTTTTGTTTGAATCTATTTGTCCTGAGTTCAGTCATGTTTAAATCAAAGTGGTCCTGTTTGGGTCTTTGCAGTCTATCAGGCAGAAGGTCATCTGCCACAGGATTAACTGCCTTGCAGAGACTACTGTTGTGATTTGAAACTATATAAATAAAATTGAATGGAAAAAGATTAAATACCATAGGTACATCATATTAAAAAATGTTGATGTTTCAATTTCAGACACAGGTTTCTGAAACTCTTAAGAGCATGATCAGTCATGATAACAGCTTTGGAACACCAGCTTGAAGTTGCCCTATGCCACGGGCCCTATCCAGTCAAATGTGACGTGCTTCAGACAACAACTTACCGTTGTAGCAGGGTCCATGTTCACAGGTGCTGCTAAGGAGGAAATAGTCAGGCATCCAACTGTCAACAGAGGCTCAAAATAAAAGTCAGTAGCAGAAAAAGCTGTTTAACATTGGCAGAGAAGATTTGGCAAGTTTTTTTTGTTTTTTTGTTTTTTGTTGTTTTTAACGAATGGGTGCAATTAATATTAATCTCTGCTGCTCAACTCACAACTGCATTTTCCTTAAAAATGTGGCACCATTTAAGAGGAAATATGTGTTTCCTCTATGTTTTAGTTTACTTTTCTCTTTTAGTAAAAAAAAAGAAAAAAAAGACGTGTTTTGGGACTTATTTATTGGGACATATGAGAGTTCACCAAACACTTCGATAAAGTCTCCATCAGAAAACGATTTACTGTTAATAGTAATTTTGTGGGATATGAAATAACTTTTCTTGGCAGCTGCATTCTGGTGCATGAAGTTTTGTTTTAAAAAAGTCCTTGTTGGTTCTGCAGTTTGTCTCTATCAGACAAGTTCTTGTATTTTTTGCATGTTTGATAACCTTTAAATGATGGTTCTTGAACACAGTGACCTGTGCATCACAAACTAAGCACACAGTCTTTCCTTTGAATTCTGTAAATATACATTTTGCAGCCCATGGCTCTTTTTTTGCATGAGCTGACATTTTTAGGGTCTGTTGGTAAACATTCACGTGCAAATGTTTCCGTACATATATGAAAGTCTCATAAACTTGTTTTTATTTAGCTTTCTTTGAAATTTGTTTGAAGGTTGACTTTAATCTTATAGAGAGATTACAATTTTATGGATAATAATTCATGCCAGTAATGTATCCACAATCAAAAAAATGAAAGATGTAGACAGGTTATGAATGCTGCCCATTAGTGATGGTGTGATGAAGCTCATTGAATAGCTCATTTGGAAGTACTGACATCTGCTGGTCATTCGATGTACAGCAGCCCAGCTGTTTATTTTACATGTGGGCTACATACCAGTTGATATATAAACAATGATGTATCAATTGCAGAATACCCATATAGGATCCTGTGTGTGTGTGTGTGTGTGTGT